ACTTATGACACAGGATTTCAGTTTCACTTGAAAAATCCCGATACGGATCATATAATTCTCTTATAAAAGATTGCAATGACTAAGCAAATGGTGGCATGCTGGGAAGACAGTCTCTGCTACAGCTAGACTGATTTATCACGTTACTCTAATTACCTTGACTTACTCATTGTTAGGATCACTTTTCTGTTGTGGAAACTTCAGGCAGCCTCAAGCTTGGCAGACTTTAATAACTATGTGAGTACTAACTCAATACATAATTAAACTTCCAAGTCCAGTGCTTTTTAAAAATATTTGTAGCAAAGCACAACATCAGTGGTTATACACAGGGAATATGTAATGCTAGGGATTCTCGCTTGTATTACACTCATATTAATTTCTTGTGAATCAAACCGCTTTGTCTTACAGAAGTTCTACAGGATTCTCACAAACAAACATTTTCAGACTTCTCCTAAATCAGTAAGAGTAAAAAAAAATTACGGACTGAATTCTACAATAATCCCAAGTAACTCAAATCTTTGTTCACTGACTTCCTTGTAGCCCAGTAATTTGAAGGTTGTGCTCACCTACTGTCTTGCTTCTCTTTGCGAACTGCATTCACTCAGCTGTTTTATGCTCTTGTGCTGAGCCAAAGCTCCCTTTTACCTGACTTCTCCACCTGATTAAGGTGGATCCATAACAGCTTTGGTTCACAAGAATGAAAGAAGTCAGGTAGAGAGAACGGGTTGATTTGTCCTGATCTTACCACATTTTTCATAGGTTGCACCTCTGAAGCTCCACTGGATGTAAAAGGCTGTTAAGGATACCACATTTCCCAATATGATTTAAAGTGCCCCCTCTCCCAATATTTTGTTCTGTAATGTTTTTATTATATATGCACATTCAACATACAGCAGTTTTTGAGATACATTCACTTATTAACAGGTAAAACATGACTTAACGATGATTCATACTCATCCCATGATAAGCCTTAGCATGCATCTGAGCTTCATTTAGCATTTACAGACATGCAATAAGCAGGAAGATCCCCAGTGGAATAGCATGGATGGATTTAATAGAGTTGACCCAATACACGCCCTGAAATAAAGTCCAAGAGTAATTTTATCCGACCCAAAGCTTGTGAAGTTATACAATACGGGGACAGTGCGCTCATGTTCTGAGCCAAAATTCAGATAGTGCTCTCTTCTGATATATAGCTTTTGGAATCCTCTGCTTCATCAGCAGTCCCCCTTTCACTACTTCTATCTTTTCAAGACACATCTCAAAAGACAGAGAGCAACCAACATCCTGGGTCAAGGAAGGCAAGAAAGATGCTATTCTCCCCAGGAAAAAAGTACTAGGAAATAATATTTTTTGAAAATTCCTGTAACTTCTTACCGATTACTTAAATTACTGTGATGGAGTCATGATGGTCTGTGGCATTTGTATTTTCATTTTGATGCATCATCTATACAACCCTCCCGCTCCCTGAAAAATCATTCTTTGCTGGAAATAAACTGCATGTTATTAAGTTCTCCCTCCCACCCCCAAGTACTCATGCAAGGAATAAATAGTGAATCTTTAACCACTTCTGCTCTCCAAGCCCTCACAATACTTTGTCACACACACAGATGGCTTCCAAAGCACACCAGTGAAGCCAGTGGTCCACATGTAGGCAAAAGCTAATGCCTCTTGAACAAGTGATGCTTGAGCTAGATTTGCATCTAGCATAGATGCGTATCAGCACACTGACCTTTACAGGCCTCTCTGAGGGGAAATCCAGCTCAGCCACTGCAGATACATTAGGATGGCATTGATTACCAAGGCAAATATCAGCCCATGACACGATCCAGTGGTTTTTGCCTCGGAGTGAGCATGTCCAGCATGAAGATTAAGAGGAGAATTGTCTTTACCAAGGATTTGTTATTATACCATTAATAAAGAGAACTGAAATACTTGTTCGAATCTTCCTTGGGATTGAAAGTGAGTTTCTCTGTACAGATGACTGACAGACTAGATGACTCAGAGGATTATTTAAAACCCAGAGAAACAGTGCCCGACGTCCTTGAATATTGTACAGGAAATCTGAATGCTCAGCATGGCTCACATCACATGAGCTTGTTACTGTAAGATTCCTTGCATAGTATCACATATCAACAACCCTTTCCTTCCCCTGCCAAGTGAAAGAAGTAATGTTTAAAACTATGGACTATAAGCAGGATGTTTGCCCTTGTGCAGAAAGCCAGAGTTAAGCCCGTATTTAAGCCTCACTGAAGTCCTTTCGGTACCTTACAAAGGACAAGTCACTATCAATTTCATGGTGCTATGCTTAAATTATCATCCTAATTTCACCAGAATGTTTCAGAATGAAGAGGGGAGAGAGACTGAACATTTGGGTCCAGATCCATCCCTCAGTTAAGACTATCTTCTTAAATATATATACACGTACATTAATGCTTACTTATGTGATATATTTATAATTTGCAACTAACGGAGGAATCCTAAATAAAACAAATTAAGATGGATTCAAGTAAAAGCAAGATGAGTAGAATTGGAAGAAGAGTAAAGAAAAAACAGACCAAGCAAAAAGCAAGTGGCAGAGAGATATGTGAACAAAAAAAATGGCATTAGAATTGAAAAACACACCCACGGACAACGCTTAGCGTTTGAGAGTTCTACTTAATGGGTTTCTGCAAATATATTTTACGGTGTTTCCCTCAGAGCTGATCTGCCTTAAAAGAGACGAAGATATTTTCCTCATTTATCCCAAAATATTACAAACAACTGACTAAAGTGAGACTGAAAAAGAATGTGAAAAATCATATAAAAACTTGCATATATGTGTATACATATTAAACACATGCATGTGTCTCATGCCAAAGACATAATGACCATGAACCTACAATTTATCTAGAGAATTACATGCTGAACACCCTGTGTAATGTATAATCTTACATCAATAAATCCATGTCAGTGTTCTGTTCCTGAAATTACTGAAAGGAGAGAAGTGCATTCCCCAAAATCTTATCCAGCTCATCCTGCCCCAAATCCTTAAGTTGAACCTAGTAAGATTTCTAAAAGAACATTTCTGTCCTCTCTAATAATTGCCTTGCACTTCTGTGGCAGTGCGTCATATGGCTAATAGGCTCTCTGGAGCAAGATAGGCAGGTGCTTGTCCACAGAGCTATGCCAATCAAAGATTTTCACAATAAATTAAGATAGTAATTCTGTTGCTGTGATGTGCCAGGGATGTAGGAGAAATAAGGCTCGTAGGTAGAGGTAGTCTTCTATTAGGCGAACCTTTGGGCATGCAATCCCAGCAGACTCAGTAAAAGGTCACCTGTGTGAATTTACACAGACTGGAAAATACCAAAATAAGATGATTGAGCATACAAAAATCTCTTTCCTAATGTGAAGCTTTATAAGGGGGTCAGGTGTGAGCTCTGCCCTGTATGTATAGAGGAATATTGATACACCTAGGGTATGTCCCATCTTCAATAGAATAAATTTACAGACTACTATATGTAAATGTTTTACAAGCTAGAAAATGAAACAATTTGCATACAATGATGCATGTGCAAAATCTCATATAGCAGATGAAGTATTCAGGTACAGAAGCAGAAACTGAAGCTACTGCAGGAGCTTACAACTAAGAAGATATTTTTGTTCCCATATTTCTTCCAGCATAAACCCTGCTTTCTTGCTTGGCACATAAGTGTTTTCAGTGCATTACATGGCAGCTATTTCTGAGGTATTTCTGGAGGGTCATCCATTTTTGAATGGAAATGTGTAGAGACATTGCATAACAACTCTCTCTTTCTCTCCAAAATATCAATAAATGCTGGGTTTATACGAGTCAGAACAAAACCATCACTAAAATCACATTTGGTGAGATCTTTGCCAATAAGCCGTCAGCTTTGGTAGTCAGACAAGTGGACAGTCAACATTTCTTTTAGCCTAGCTGCATTACAGTGAAATCAGACTCACGGGAACGTGTCACATCCTTCCCTCCTAATGGAAGATTAGCAGCATTACAGAAAATAAATAACTTTATCTGACAGCCATTACTCAAACCAATCCAAAAAAGGACAAACAAGAAGAAAGCAGCAATACAACTATGATTGGGAAATTAGGTTCTTCATCAACCAACACAGTATGGCAAAAGCCTCAGTCAGGTATTGCAAACACTACCTCAGAGCTGAAAATCAGCTCAGCCAAAATAAGAAATTGCACAAAATTAGTTGACTGACTTGCAAACATACAGAACTGAAGAGAGCAACAGTCGTTATGCTGTTTCTACCTTGTTGATACACAACACCTTAAATAAATGACTTGCTTTTATTTAGTCTCTAACCTGATCAGAATCTGCAAGTATATGAAACATTAGCTAGAACAAATGATTCTGCTTTACAAAGCAGGTTTCTGTCTGGTTTTTTTTTTTTTTTTTTGCTTGTTTGTTTGGGTTTTTTTGTTGTTGTGGTTTTTTTTTTGTTGTGTTTTTTTTTTTTTTTTAATTTGGTTGGTTTTGTTTGGTGTTTTGGGGTTCTTTGTTTGGGTTAGAGTTTTTTTGTGTGCGTGTTTGGTTGGTTTTGTTTGAAGGGGTGTTTGGTGGTGTATGAAGAGCAAAATATCAGTACAGTTCCTTGATTTTCAGGGCTAAACTGCATTGCTGCAGACCCCAAATGAGCTCAAACTTGACCAGGTAAATATAACCTCTAAAACCCAAGGGATTAGTCCACAACAGGGATGTCAGAGCATTAACTGTAGCTTCCCATCTTATATAGCTGGTATATAAACCATTTATTTTTCTAGCTCATTATTTGACATTGCAACACTACATAACACTGACCTTTAAAAGCAAATTTTAAATAGTATCGTATTATATCTTCCAACCTTTAGCGTTCATTTTTTTCTAATGGTGTGACCATTTACTAAAGGCTTCATCTACTAGGATGTTGCCATTTTGGAATAGGAATTAGTATTTTTTCTTGGCAAGGTTCATGTACTTACATTTTACTTGCATTGTTCTTGCTTCAGCAATGTTCTAGGTATAACGCATTTCGCTTACAGTGCTTTCATCTTCCCTGTTTCAGTCTGTAGATTTTCATCCTGTTTCCTTTCATCATGATATCAGATGCATCAGGATGTAATTTACATTAGTCAAATGGTGGTCGTGCTATGCACTGCATACACACACAAAAACAAAGGAAAAAAAAAAAAGCTGTTTCACCTCTATTATCAATCCTATTCTCTCTCTATAGTAAAAAACAAGCAAGAGGGACCAATTGTTAAGTATGTCTTTGAAAATAAGTTGTCTGTTTAAAAACATCTTGGCTCTGCTGAGTGGAATGTTTTCCTGAAGAGTAAATCACATCACTTATATCATGAAGAAACAGAGTTTGTAATTTTGTGAGCCAAAGTAAATTTCCTGGATAGCTGTACTTTCTGGCAACTCTACGTTAATGATCAAGAACTATCCTCTGAGGACCATGCTTGGCAGATCATTACTGAAAAGACGAGAAGTAACATAAATGTAGTCTGGCTGAATTTTGTTGCCTAAGTTTGCTGGAAAATGTGTCATGTTGTGCAGTTCCTCTCTGCAATATGCACAATAAATATACAATACAAGTTCACCAAAATTTAAACAGACCTTTATGACCATTTTTTTTAAAATCAGAACTACATCAGAATAGAAAAGCTTTAATACCCTTCTTGTGACACAATTGTGATGCTGTTGTCAGTCCATAAGTGGAAGTGACAAATCCCCTGTTCTAGACAGAGCCTGTGTGTTTCCAGATTCATAATGAAACCTTCTCCTTTTTGTTACGTGGCTAGCTAAAGACCTGTTGGATTGGATAGATGCCATGTGGCAACACACACATTTATATATATATATATATATATTCTTGTCTGTTAACACTATTGTAAAGTTTGCTCAGAACTGCAGTGAAACTACAAGGTCGAGTTTCGAAGCCAGTAACAGAATACAACATAAATGTCTATATATGAGAAGAGTTGGGGATGTTTAGAGATGTTCTGAAGGTTTAAAGTTAAATAGATTTTTGCCGGGGAAATGTTAATTAACTTTAAACAAAGCATTTTATGATAACATACTAATATTCCAAAACTTCTTTTGAAACACAGAATGAATGGAAATTTATCTGACTGTCAGAGGGCAAACCGAGCACAGATTTTCATTCACACTTATACCTACCATCCTGGGACCAGAGGGCTTACAGGCTTTTTACCTCTGTGGTAAGGAGCCTTAAAGATCCTAATCCAAGAGTCATTGCTGGTTTTCATACACAGTCCTTTTTAAAATCCCCCATTAGACAAACAATGTTAATGATCAATAATGCAAAAGTTAGTTAAATCTCCATTTCCTGAACTTAGAAAGTTTAATGACTTAGCAAAACTTGCAATATAATTTTAAAGTGGAATCAACTGCTATTATAGAGAGATTTGCTTGGAGCACCCCTAACACTGACTGTATTTAACTACGGTAGGCACCACAGCCACTCGCTAGGCACACAAGAGGGGCGTACAACTACCCACAAATGTTTCCAGCTAAGTAGAAGCAGGACACTTGCTGTGCAAGAACCTCATCGCCGACACTCAAGAAACTATCAGGAAGATAGCAATGCTTGCTCACTGTTTGCACTTCTTGCTCAACTCCCCATACGTGGTTTGATCAACATAAGCGACAGCCACACATCACAAGTCACAGGTAACATATGTTTAATTTCATGTGCGTTTATTATGCAACTTAACGGCATTTCAGCAACTCCTGTCTACAATTCGCAGTTGCAGTTCACTACACAATCACCACGTTAATCATCGCACTTGCACACTGTTTCACAGATGCCTTAATGTTTGTGTGATAATTCACACCTAATTATATTTTGGAGTCAAGTTTTTGAGGGTTATTTCTAATCAACACTTACAGTGCCTCATAGGTTGCAAAAGAATTTCTGAGTCACTCTCAGTGTCATGTCCTTACTCGTCACACATTGGAAAGACACTGTTTCGTTATCTGCTTTGCTGACTTGACCTGACTTATTCAAGTACCTTTAGCCTCGGTCCCATCTCTTCTGGCAAGAAAGGAGTGATCCCTTCAGATCCCTAAGCTGAGAATTAAGATCTGGTGATAGCTCAAAGTTTTATGCAGTGAGGACAGAGACTCTTTCATGATTTAAGAAAACATCGATGAGATTTTTATCCCAGAGCAGATAGAAAGCAGCCTGTTAGTAAAGCTTTTCTTCCTATGTATTTTAAAGACAAGTAACTGCGCCACTGCACCTTACTCAAACAGGAGGAGGTACCTACAACTGTCTTTCACATCTGTGCCTGGAAGATACGTGACAATACAATTTTACAGTATTATGCCGGTAAAGTTTTATGCTAACAATAAATCCTATGTCTAAGGTAACATACATATATAATCTATCTTTGTGTTAACACCTTTGTTGTAACAAATAGTTGTGATAGGTGAACATAAACCTGAGGAGTGTTTTGGCTCCCTACATTTTAGATATATTGTGTGCAGCACAATAATAAGAACACAGCAACTTTTTTTCTTTCATTGTTGATTCTTGACTATACCAGAAACGTGGTATCAGTTGGTTCAAAACTGAACACAGCTTAGGCTGCAAATATTTCTACAACCAACAACACTGAAGCTTTTATTTTAATCTTAGTAATTATGTGCCATTTTCCTAGGTCAAAAAAAAAGGGATTTCAAACCCCTTCCTATTTAAAGAAGCTTAAGCTCATATTTTCCTCTCCAAATGCTCAAGAACAGCAGGTCATACCATACTGTAGGACAAGTTTTTAATGATCTGTTGGTTAAGATGTTGCAGTTATGTATTTGCACACTCACTGATCATCAGAAAACACTTTTTCCTCGAAATTTTTAATGAAATTGAAAGACACCTCTGGTACTCTACAATATGGCGATGATGAGAAGGGGAGGTAGTCTTATTTTGGGAGGGAGAGATAGATTTTCAACAACCTGTTAGTCAGAGGAAGTATTTGATGCAGGCAAGACAGCAAGGTGTGACACCATCTGTTCATCACTGTGGTTGTCAATGGTAATGAAATTTCATTGTTCATAAACATTTCTTCTGTTTTGTTAGAAACCCCCTAATTTTTTTGTAATTAAGCAGTCAAAATAAAATATTGCTCATTTCATTGGGCTGCATGCATTTATGTTTTGTTCAGCAACCAGAACAAATCAATTATTTGTGCAGACGTAATGATGTTCATACTGTTGAAACCAGGCTGTCATATGGATACAATAAAACAGTTATTGCCAAACTTGTCATGAACATGTGCAAGTCATTTGACAAATTCTTTGATGTCCTGACTTCTCAGTGAACTCTCCATGCATTAGCACTGTTGTATTTAACTAGTTTTAATTTACTGACTTCTCATACATATTCTCCATGATTTATCATCCATGTAGTTTCTTACTTTCCGGTTCCTGGTCATTTCTATCCCTCTATCCTATGGCATTTGTTGCTTTTACAATAGATGGCAGAATCTGTCTCTCCCCTGACTGCCATCCTTGTCCTTATTTCACATCCTGCTTCTCAACTGGGCACACATTGTTCCTGGGAAGCCACTCTTCTGGTATGTGTCTCTGCTGCAGAGACTGCAATATCCTTTCATCTTATTTACTACTTAGTTGTCTCAAAAATACATAAATCACTTTATTCAAAAAATCCAAACAGTTGACAGAAGAGCAGCTCTCCTCCATCCAGCCTTCTGCAGACTAACCTGCCTCTAGAGCAAATACATGGTTCTGTTGGTACAGTACCACCTGTTTATCTGACTGCAGTACAAAACCCATCACTTATTATAGAATCATATATCGCTTCCTGGTGATCATCCCATTTGACTTAAGCTTTGGCAAAAAAATAAGCAGCACAGAGGTGGGATGCAGCCAATTAGTTTCCAAATGGGAACTAGGCTGGAAAGGAATCTACGGAAATGCTCTTATTTTTAGCAAAGGAAAAACAAGAGAAACAGATTTACCACAGAAAGCAAGCATTGAGCAGAAACAGAACCCTATTCCTAAATCTCCCTGTGAGTTTTTACCACTAGATGGTGCTTTCAAAAAGAATCAAACAACAAAAGTCAAAATATCAGCCAAGGTCAACATGATTACGGAGAGAAAAAGTACAACAAATCGAATCCAAAGCATATCCCATATGCCATTAAACTACCAGTCCTAAACTTCTGCTACGACTAGGTCACATCGTGGTTCTGTGACAGAGAAAGGAAGCCCTAACACACACTGTCATCACAACAGGAACATGACCAACAACAATGTATTAATAAATATTCCTAGCTCTTAATTGCTTCCAACAAACAATACTGGGGCATGGAGAGAAGAAAATAGACTAGTGCAGCCTCTGGGCAAGCAGATGTCACTCTGAAAACACAGATGTATTACACGAAAAGTGACCTAAAGCCATCTCAGTTACCACCTGTCATATTCCCTCCAAGTATAACTCTGGATCACTGGGCTCAGTGGTCTGGGAAAAGAGTAAAAAGTTGGTGTTTGTTCTTGTGAACAGACACAAATGAAGAGAGCTTTGCTGATGAGTTCCATCGTTTAGAACCTCATCAAACAAAGAGTATGGAAAGCTTGACAACTGCCATCTGAATGATGTTGCATTATGTTTTAAAAACATCTAACATTGCTGTACAGACATACGACTCATCTGGTTGGAAGCTTCAAGTCGCATTGTTTTGCCTTGTGCTTTAATCAGGTAATGAATAGAACATGGCACAGAAAAAAAAATATATACATTTTAATTTCAGTCTGTGCCCTGTCTTATTGTTTGTTTAAGCCTGTCCAACTGAGACTCCTTGCACTATACGCCTCTGGTTGCATTCCATGCGAAACAAAGGCATATTTCAGGGAAGTACCTCTCACAAAGAGGTATTGATGAACCAGAAATCAGAGTCTGGACAAATGACCATTTTTCTATAAACACAGCTCTATTGTTTCAGCTTTTCTTCTCCTGGGGAATAAATATTTCATTATTCAAAGCAGTGGCTGAAAAGCAAATGACTCCTCCCCCTTCTACCAATAATCTTCCCCCACTGCTCTAGAGAAATGCAACTCAATGGTTTCCATGATTCCTCTCTTGCAACATTTGGATTATTTTTTTTA